CATATGAAGAAAAAATGGTATAAGCAATACGCCAATGTGTTGCACTGACACTTCGCTGACACGCGACTACCACTGGTTGCAAGCGTTCCAGGGCTACGGCATGTGGCCTACATCCATACAGATTTGAAGCAGGGACTTGTGGGTTATAAAAAACCGGTTTATCCTTTCGGATAGAGATACAATAATACACTAAAGTACCCTGTGTTCTTTCTTCATAAGTGTACTCGGAGCAATTTCCCAATGCTCAGCGTGAACACAGCGATATAATCGAGTTGGACCTCCATTGGTGTGAGAATTCGTGGCAACGAATCGTAAGCAAACACGAACCAGGAGCCGATCAACGTGTGTGGCGATTGAAATCAACCTATGCGAGTGTGTGACCTCTACGACCAATCAATAAGAGAGGACGCCGGGATCACATAATTTCTGGTATTAAGGAAGCATTAAGGAAGATTTCCAGCTCAGCAACACACGCAGTCCGTACTGTAATAGCTGTTGCATCTCTTCGAGGATGAAGCGTGTTGGAACTAGCTTCCTCTTTTGAGTGTTTGGCTGAACTGAGATGTGCAACAGTATAGCCATCTGAACTGTCAGTCAGAACCCAACAGCAGCAATCACCACATAAAGGAATGCGCACCCGGCGGTGAGAGATATATGTGCTCGAAACGCCGAACATGGATATAACTAAAAGGAAGTGACGACAGATTAGAAGCTAGTCACCATCATGTTGACAGCAGTCCAGTGTTGTCTACAAGAATCAGAGTAAAGTCGAGGGGCATCAAAATAGTTCGAGGACCGACAGCGACATAACAAAATTATGTTTCAATCACCACTAACGGCAATACCGGGTGCTTCGCTGCTATACAAGGATGATCAATTGGCCAATAAAGAATATGATAAGGGCATAAGAGCGCTCAGCAGTTAACGTACAAGATCAACGCAGACATTTCGATTGTTGCATACCGTAGCGTGATAAGACACCAAAGCTACACCATTTTAGGTCACCTAAAAGTACCTCATATCCAACACCCCTGCACAAAACAGTGAGCTAAATATCGACCAGGGATATATATATATATATATATATATATATATATATATATCTGCAAGAGTCAAATAATCCCAGTAAACAGCAGTGAATGCGAACGAACCACAGTCCGCAGAAAAACGGGTGTGGTGGCGATTGCAACGACAACGGTTGTAAACGCGTGGAAGACAGGTTGAGAACACGGCAATGGAAGTATCGAAAGATTATATTGTCCGGTAATCAACGGGCAAATTGTGGGGGTGGGGGGAAGGAAAGACACACCGTTATCCAGCCAATGCAGATTGCGCTGGAGAAGGGAATGATAAATATGATGAAGCGTTGCACAGCCAAGAGAAGAAGGGGAATGACTAGGTGAATGAAGGAATCGATTAAGACAAAGATCAATGCAACACTATGGGTAGCGTCCGACAAGTGGAAACACGATAATCCAGTGGTAGAAGAGAGTTGTTACGGCAGTTACAAGTATTGCGAGGAAACTGGAGACGGTCGAGGCAGGTCATCGAGGAATGAATGCAAAGTTGGCACTCATGGAGCAGTTAACAAATCCATCAGTACGTCACCACGGACGCGGACGTCACTCCAAAAGGATGGAGAAAAATCCACAATGGAAGAAGGTTGCGAAACAGGCGGGGGGACTCGGAGAAGAATAAGGTGTTTCTAAAATAAACAGATGTTGAGAAAACTGAAGTGAGGGAGGAGAAAGACGGTAAAATCAACTGCCCAATGTGAAAATTCGATATCCAATAGACAAAAGAAAAACGACTTCCTTGAAAATTAACAGCGACCTGACGCGTAGGCTAAAGAATGCACGTAACGATACAGAGTGCTAAGAACCCTCACTACCAACAGGCGTCGGTTGGAGTCTGAGCACTGCCGGGCTGATGCCCGAAGGACGATGAAAACATCTCGTTGGATACACTTGCTAACATGGCGAAGAGTCAAACTCGATGGCGTTTGTATTGTGAGTTTCCTTGTCGCCCTCCATCCCGAGTATCCTAACCCTTTAACCACGGTCCCAATTTTGAAGTATAATAGGTTACAAAGCAATAAGGCATCTGTTGTTTTTTGTGTTCTATAATGCTTGATATATCCTTTTTCCACGTATCCTATCTTTTGTATTGCGGCATAATAGCTTGTGTTCCTCACCTACAGCTACAGTGTAATGATGATGATGCCAAACTGCTAGGATCGCCAAATGTCGCACCGCTGTATTGGGTGATCCATGGTGAGAATCTGATGTGGATCCGAAATCGACTCAGTATGCCCATGAACAAAAATCTACCATCGAGTAATAACGAACGCTTCGCCTCACTGTCATACCCTACCCGGAGCTCGAGGGAAGACAAGGCTTTCTGTCGGATAATCCGTTAAGGTTGGAACCGGAATGTTAACGGAAAATCACTTGCCAATATATAGAGGTACGTAAATCTTCGAAGGATTAAAGAATAATAGTACGAATGGAGAAAATACACCAAGTAAAAGTAGTAAATTGAAACTGCAGTGATTGTTCAACAAAGTAAAATGAAGAGAAAAACTGGAAAACATAAAAAGGTAGTGAAAGCTCTTGATAAAACGTGGAAGAGTAGATCATATCATCATCAACATCGGTACATCAGCCATTTGAACCGATGGTTCGCTGGTGTACAAAATAAAGTGGGGAAAGAAGAACGACAGGTGGAATCGAACGTAAAACCTTAATGCCCTGAGCAAACATACAGGGTGAAGGGGCCTGCACGTTGTCAAAATATTTCTTCACAAACAGCTGGCTATCAGCGAAACAGCTTCCTTGCGGGTTTCAGTGCCCTGCGTCGTAATCAGCCATTAACACGCAAATAACTCAGCATCAACTACACTTCAAACATGCAGTCCAACTACGAGACGACAGCAGACACGCCACCGGTACCGAATGCCAGCCCCGTTCCGTCACACCTAGAGCCAAGCACAAGGGGGACCAGGTGGACTCTAGCATGGAAGGCGAGACGGATCAGCCGCACCCAGTTCTATAGCTGCAAGTCAATTTTTATTCACCTTGAGCCTCGCTGTTACGTGTTCAACCAATGATCGCTTACTATGACCGTGAACCTGATTGGCCCTACACATGGTTGGCGGCATCCGGTTTCGGATTTGCCTGTCACTGTGGCAAGCCACAGGACGCCTGCGCCTACAGAGGGACCATGGATGGCTTGCGCTGAACCACCCACAGCTCCAACCACATACCCCATATCCAGTGTAAACCCGAAGGAATAAGACCGGGAGGCATGCGGATGGGAACCACGTTTCATCAACGGAGCCGGCCCACACTCCTTCACAGGCAAACACAAGCACGCTGTATTTGGGGAATCAACCGCACACAAGGCGGTGGCTGGACCGTAGTCCGCTCCACACTGAGTGCATGGAACCGCTCTTTGAGCCTAGCACGGCCACAAGAACAGTGCACCCCGTCCCCTCCAGCAACGACCAACTGTCTCCTGGAGCCAGTATGAACGATGTAGTGGGTAATAGACAGGTAGGCACCTTGTCAACATACACATCAAGCGCAACCATACCAGGGATATCAAACAACACCCATTCACTTTAAACGACAAGCTGAAATAAAATAAATCCAATAATGCATACAGATACGGTGGCATAACTCTGCGCTAAATTACCATATGAAGTAAGTTGGTTAGCAACAAATCCGTGATAAGTAAGAAATGTCCACAAGTTACTTAAAATGCTGCAAACGCAACAAAATTACCGAAGATAAGCGCAATTAGTGTAAGCAACGTGGCCAGTTAATAGAACATTATTCAGGGAGGCAGAACAAACCAAATAAAGCGGAATGAAATTTATCCAGCTTAAAAAGACCTAGTTTAAGTGTAAGTTGGTTTAGCCCAACTGCGGTGAAGAAGCATCAAGAATGCAACATCAGCCTCAGCATGGGGCACACATACATACATGGTTGGCAGCATCCGGTTTCGGATTTGCCTGTCACTGTGGCAAGCCACAGGACGCCTGCGCCTACAGAGGGACCATGGATGGCTTGCGCTGAACCACCCACAGCTCCAACCACATACCCCATATCCAGTGTAAACCCGAAGGAATAAGACCGGGAGGCATGCGGATGGGAACCACGTTTCATCAACGGAGCCGGCCCACACTCCTTCACAGGCAAACACAAGCACGGTGTATTTGGGGAATCAACCGCACACAAGGCGGTGGCTGGACCGTAGTCCGCTCCACACTGAGTGCATGGAACCGCTCTTTGAGCCTAGCACGGCCACAAGAACAGTGCACCCCGTCCCCACCAGCAACGACCAACTGTCTCCTGGAGCCAGTATGAACGATGTAGTGGGTAATAGACAGGTAGGCACCTTGTCAACATACACATCAAGCGCAACCATACCAGGGATATCAAACAACACCCATTCACTTTAAACGATAAGCTGAAATAAAATAAATCCAATAATGCATACAGATACGGTGGCATAACTCTTCGCTAAATTACCATATGAAGTAAGTTGGTTAGCAACAAATCCGTGATAAGTAAGAAATGTCCACAAGTTACTTAAAGTGCTACAAACGCAACAAAATTACCGAAGATAAGCGCAATTAGTGTAAGCAACGTGGCCAGTTAATAGAACATTATTCAGGGAGGCAGAACAAACCAAGTAAAGCGGAATGAAATTTAGCCAGCTTAAAAAGACCTAGTGTAAGTGTAAGTTGGTTTAGCCCAACTGCGGTGAAGAAGCATCAAGAATGCAACATCAGCCTCAGCATGGGGCATATATATATATATATATATATATATATATATATATATATATATATATATATATATATGCAAGTGTCAAATAATCCCAGTAAACAGCAGTGAATGTGAACGAATCAGAGTCCGCAGAAAAGCGGGTGTGTTGGCGGTTGCAACGGCAACGGTGGTAAACGCGTGGAAGACAGGTTGAGAACACGGCAATGGAAGTATCGAAAGATTATATTGTTCGGTAATCAACGGGCAAATTGTGGAGGTGGGGGGAAGGAAAGACACACCGTTATCCAGCCAATGCAGATTGCGCTGGAGAAGGGAATGATAAATATGATAAAGCGTTGCACAGCCAAAAGAAGAAGGGGAATGACTAGGTGAATAAAGGAATCGATTAAGACAAAGATCAATGCAACACTATGGGTAGCGTCCGACAAGTGGAAACACGATAATCCAGTGGTAGAAGAGAGTTGTTACGGCAGTGACAAGTATTGCGAGGAAACCGGAGACGGTCGAGGCAGATCATCTAGGAATGAATGCAAAGTTGGCACTCATGGGGCAGTTAACAAATCCATCAGTACGTCACCACGGACGCGGACGTCACTCCAAAAGGATGGAGAAAAATCCACAATGGAAGAAGGTTGCGAAGCAGGCGGGGGGACTCGGAGGAGAATAAGGTGTTTCTAAAATAAACAGATGTTGAGAAAACTGAAGTGAGGGAGGAAAAAGACGGTAAAATCAACTGCCCAATGTGAAAATTCTGTATCTAATAAACAAAAGAAAAACGACTTCCTTGAAAATTAACAGCGACCTGACGCGTAGGCTAAAGGATGCACGTAACGAAACAGAGTGCTAAGAACCCTCACTACCAACAGGCGTCGGTTGGAGTCTGAGCACTGCCGGGCTGAGGTCCGAAGGAAGATGAACACATCTCGTTGGATACACTTGCTAACATGGCGAAAAGTCAAACACGATGGCGTTTGTATTGTGAGTTTCCTTGTCGCTCTCCATCCCGAGTATCCTAACCCTTTAACCACGGTCCCAATTTTGAAGTATAATAGGTTACAAAGCAATAAGGCACCTGTTGTTTTTTGTGTTCTATAATGCTTGATATATCCTTTTTCCACGTATCCTATTTTTTGTATTGCGGCATAATAGCTTGTGTTCCTCACCTACAGCTACAGTGTAATGATGATGATGCCAAACTGCTAGGATCGCCAAATGTCGCACCGCTGTATTGGGTGATCCATGGTGAGAATCTGATGTGGATCCGAAATCGACTCAGTATGCCCATGAACAAAAATCTACCATCGAGTAATAACGAACGCTTCGCCTCATTGTCATACCCTACCCGGAGCTCGAGGGAAGACAAGGCTTTCTGTCGGATAATCCGTTAAGGTTGGAACCGGAATGTTAACGGAAAATCACTTGCCAATATATAGAGGTACATAAATCTTCGAAGGATTAAAGAATAATAGTACGAATGGAGAAAATACACCAAGTAAAAGTAGTAAATTGAAACTGCAGGGATTGTTCAACAAAGTAAAATGAAGAGAAAAACTGGAAAACATAAAAAGGTAGTGAAAGCTCTTGATAAAACGTGGAAGAGTAGATCATCTCATCATCAACATCGGTACATCAGCCATTTGAATCGATGGTTCGCTGGTGTACAAAATAAAGTGGGGAAAGAAGAACGACAGGTGGAATCGAACGTAAAACCTTAATGCCCTGAGCAAACATACAGGGTGAAGGGGCCTGCACGTTGTCAAAATATTTCTTCACAAACAGCTGGCTATCAGCGAAACAGCTTCCTTGCGGGTTTCAGTGCCCTGCGTCGTAATCAGCCATTAACACGCAAATAACTCAGCATCAACCACACTTCAAACAGGCAGTCCAACTACGAGACGACGACAGACACGCCACCGGTACCGAATGCCAGCCCCGTTCCGTCACACCTAGAGCCAAGCACAAGGGGGACCAGGTGGACTCTAGCATGGAAGGCGAGATGGATCAGCCGCACCCAGTTCTATAGCTGCAAGTCAATTTTTATTCACCTTGAGCCTCGCTGTTACGTGTTCAACCAATGATCGCTTACTATGACCGTGAACCTGATTGGCCCTACATACACACGTAGATAAGCACGCACACACGCACTCAAGGACACACCCTAACGTTCCGTGTTCACATGTAAACCGTTAAGTGTTCAGTACACTGTGCGCCAGACTGACGCGTCTTCTTGCTTATTCGCTACGAATTGAAATACGTAGTTGCGGTTAGAGTCCAGCTGTGATACTCGCACTGCCCTAAATCTGGCAAACAAAACGCCCTCCTCGATAAGGGGTGATAGGCCATAAGCAGAACGTGCTTAAGCCAAAGCAACTTCCTCCGTGCCATCTGTTGTTTTAAGGAACTAGCTTGAGTATCACTGCCTAGCGCTAGCCTACACAAGTTATCATTGCGGACACGCAGGTTTCACTCGACACCTGCAATGCAGTAAGGTTGTTCAGAATTGGCTCGGTCGACCCAATACGGTTAAACATTAGGACAATATCGTCTGGACAATCAAGATCAACTAGCTTTTCACCAGGTGACAGCTCAACGCCTGTAACGTGAGATCCCGTAAGGGGACACTGCATAATGAAGTTCAAGACAGGATTGAACAAAGATGGGCAAATTTGACAACCCTGACGAACACCACTTGTGGTATGGAAGATATCTGTTAAGTCAACCTTAAAACTATAGCACTTTTTAGGAACACATTTTAATCCCTTACTGTTTTGGCTACGAGCAGTGCATGATCGTTTACACCAACAATGCTTTGAAATCGTTTTACGTTTTTGCATGGGTTAACAGCACAATTCGATCAATTAGAAAAAGTGTGAGGGGAATCAACGAACAGCGAAATAAATCTGCTACCAAACATTGTACATGGTGGAGAGCTGTTCTCCTGAAGAAAAATTGATGAGTATGAAGATACCCACTTTTCTATCCGCAAAGGCCCGCTCGCTTCTGAAAAAATTGGAAGACCTAAGAATCACAATCAGCGGTCGTGGATAAGCGCAGATAGGTGTCATTTCGCTGAAGAAGGCTTGACCCCACAAAGATATTAAAGATGCCAATGCGGCTGTTGACAGTTCTGTTTGACATCGTGCCGACCGCCATGCACATAGCAGAAACTTGGTAGTGGTGTCATCACCTCCATTAACGCTTCTTGGTGGTTGTCCGTGAAAAACAAGCTCGTCAAGACGAATCGACTGCTAGTTCGAAGGTGTTAACTAAAATATCTGAGTGGATATCATTCAATTTTAATGGTAAATATCTATATACTCCAGCCAGCTATCATGAAACAGAAACGGACAAATTTTGTAATGACTTTACGGCTGCTGTTGTTTGTCGAATCAACCAGTCACTGTGCATATCTTCTGGTGATTTTCTAGAGTAGTGACAACATTGCTTACGAAGCTGAGGTCACAAAATATAGTGAAATGTCCAACCAGATTAGCGGCAACCCTAGTTAATAATCTGATGATCATTTCGGTCTACAATCGGGCACTACTTAGCAAATCCGATAACTGTATACTTACTTACTTATTGTTGTTTACACTGAGACTAAACACAGTGATGTTACTCGCTGCAATGACCGTGTACTTGGATGACGACAATCCTTCCCTCCCAAGTAAGTGGGACCGAGAAGTGGGTGCCTTCAGTTTGTATTTTGATGGATTTTTCGACACATTATGAGGAAGTAACAAATTATCTGAACGATGGGTACGATCTGTGCAACTCGGTAGAAACCATTTTCATCCGGGCTAACCCATTCGTTACAGTAACACTCAAATAGAGAGAGCGTTCAAAGGTAAAGATTGTGTACTGGTGAAGTTCTTTTCTGTCCTACTGAGGAAGAGATGCACCACCCCAATCATGCCTACGTCCAGATGATTTTGAGAAACAACAGTTACTGTGAAGTTCGGCATGTGATCAAGTCCCACACGAATGCTGAAGTGGAAGTAGAAGAATTGAAGTGTAACTTCCGTTGTCCAATCAGTGAGCAACTCGCTGATACATTATCAGAAGTTTCCGTGGCCTACGGACTCATCGCTTCCTGTCAACGTTGCATCACTAGACAAGAAGCTGATGAAGCTACACACCGACAAGTCAAGCGAACCTGATAGGTTATCTCCCGTTGCCGCCACAGAGTGCGCGGATTACTTAGCCCAGCATCTTGCTGAGTTGAATACAAGATGCCTGAAACAAAGGAAAATCGAGGATCATTGGAGAACTGCTGCCATACGCCAGTGCCGAAGGTGTGGACACGAATATCAGAGTAGTGCGTGCAGTTCGGTGAACATGACGTTCTTTGAGAAACTCAAACTTGAAAGAATGTCGACCAAGTCCCGTTTAGACGACTCGTATAAGAGTGCATATCGAAGTTTAAGGCTTAGCTAGTACAGCGTCATTGTGGAAACAATAAGAACAAATTCACGCGCCTGCTTTCGTGATTACAGCAACTAGTGCGCAGCACTATCCACAATACCTTTCATTGACATGCAAATATCGTACTGTCTTCACAGATGTTTGAGCCTACGGAAAGCCACACTGGCCCTGCTGATCTGCGAAGTTACTTCCTCAGTGATGCAACCACCAGAGATGACACACCTACCAAGGTAAGTGAATCGATCCACCACTTCCAATGGCTGTTGGGTGATAGCTAGAATCGGAGGTGTGTCGGTCCAGTACTGCAGCAGTACATTGAAAAAACACATGTCGAGGCGAGCAGTGCTACGCGTCAGTCTACCTAGTAGTGCTTGCGTAGCCACTGTGATGTCGTCCGCATATTTCAAGTTTGTCAGTCGGTCACTTGGCAGGACTTCAACTCCGATAGATTCTGAAAGAATACAAAGTTGAAGGGGACGGGGGATATAGGACAACCCTGGCGAACTATACGTGTTGTTGATGGCTCAGTAGACAGTTTCCGTACACCCTAACCCGGCCTCGGAAGTCACGGTAGAGAGGCTTCAGAATGGTAAGAAGTTTAGCTGGCAGTGCCACAAATTGGCACGATCGACGGAGTCGAAGGTGGCTTTCAGATCAAAGGAACAACCATAGTCAGTTGTCGGTAGGTGTGCCTCATGTCTAACACTTGACAAAGAGTCGATGCAACTAGCACCAGGACGGGAGACAGCCTGGCTTTCAGTGGTTCGGTTCTCACGAGGACCATTAGGTCGCTGAAGAATGATACCCGTGGGAAATTTGGAGGCAACGGAAACAAGACTGAAGCCTCGATGATTTTCGCACAAATATGGACACGACAACTGACAGTCGACAGTCTGAGACACCACTTCCGCATGCTAAATCGTATTGTATATAGCATCAAGTTTAGCTAACAGAGTCTGCTCCATTTTCAACAAAGACAAAGGAGAGTCATCGGGTTCAGGAGCCTTGTTTCCTTTCAAAATGGCGAGCCACTTTCGAATCTCATCCAGTGGTAGTTGTGACATCAACTTCCCACGTCGATTCAGATGCTTATGCAAGCGGAGTTGTCACAGCAGGCCTACTGAACTGCTCTTTAGATTATTCCACTCAACGGGCTAGTCGATGTGCAGGAAAATGGGTCAAACATTCAAGTTTTTCAGCGAATGCCTCACAAGTAAAGGGATTTGCTAGACCCGTGTGCCGGAGGAAC